GTTAAAAAGTATTGTTGAAGTGTCAACTTGCCCCCTAAATTATCAATTTGCCTATTTTCCTCCTTATACTATGTTCCTTTGCCCAATGTGATCCTTTTGCGCAAAAACCGTTAAATACTTAATGGAAATTTTGAAAATTTCAAACCACCACCTAAAAATTCCAAAAACTACTAACAGCCCCATAAATTTTTTCTGGGGACTGTCAAAAAAATTTGGATCTTTCGGGATTTTTAAAACCTCATGGTCTTTTCTGCAATTTTCGGATCTTTTGCAAAATTTAATTTTTAGGGTATTTTGCAGTTTTCAGATTCCCAGTGATGTAAATAATTTTGAAATTTTTGGGATATCTTTTGTGATTTCAAAATTTAGGGTGTTTTGTGTAAATTTTGGATTTTTTAAGGTTTGTAAATTTTAGATTTTCAAGTAAGTGTTTATAATTTTTGAGGTGTTTTTTGCAATTTCCAATTTTTTAAGACGCCATGTATAATTTTGAAATTTTTTTGGAGTTTTTGTAAAGTTCACTAAATAAATCATTTAAAATGATATACCATGTCACCCTCCATTAAGGATTTAACGCTTATTTCACAAAAGGACTGCATTTGGCAAAGAAACATACAATAAGGAGAACAAATAGGCAAATTGATACTATGGGAAGCAAATTGAAACTTCAACAATACTTATTTAAAGAGGAGTTGGTCATTTTGTCCAAAAATATAAGCACAAAAAGAACAATAAAGCACAAGGGAGAATCTACCTGTGAGTAAAGTGTTGCAAGATGGATTTGCTTTCAGCGAGGTAATATACTGCGGACATGTGCAATAAGCAGGATATTAACTGAATCATCATAACAAGAACATTAATTGAAAATAACTTACAGAATCATTAGCAGCAAAAGACAGACAGGACTGTGGAGAGTCAAAATCCCATAACTGCACTACAGCTGGACCACCGTATTCACTATCACTTCCACAAGCCAGAAGGCTTTCGCTACAAAATTCCATCACATTAAGAGAAGGATGAGGCTGGTCTTTCACCCTGCAACAAGAATGTAATTGCATTTTCCTGTCAATGTCCAGCAGGTACAGCGCAAGTACCTTGAGTCAATTAGAAGTAAAACATGAGTGATCAAGTAATTAGGCAACAGAAAGCACCGAAGAACTTAAAACCGTGTTACCACATCATAGTATACGACAAGTCATCATGCAATATCTCAATTGTATTGACCATGAGGAATTGCCCTAAGAAAGTCTCTCAACATATAAAAATGCCAAAGAATCAAAAAATGAAGTGTTTTTAAGTCATGTAGTCTAATTGATCAACATTCAACTCTTGTCAAAACTTGGAATTACTCTCTTCTATAAACCCATTGCAAATATCCCTCCCTCCACAATAAGGAGTCACAACACCTACGCCCTAGGCCCTAGTTCCTGACACCAAAACACAGAATCAAAGAGTTTTGATGTTAATTCCTTATAAGGGTTAGCAAGGAAAACTGATTTAGACATCCTCTCAGTGAGAAAAAGGACAAGAATATTTATCAAATATATAATATAGATAAGTTAACAAGATTTTTATCTCAAAAGAAGATAAAGGGACCGTTAAAGTTCATAGAAAGAAAATAAAAATGAAGATGCACGAAGCCACATAACTTAGCTATCTTCCCCACTAAAAAGGAAAGAAATTAGAAAGACAAGAACAAGGTCCACATCCAATAAAAAGTAATATGATGTGTGCAACCAAACTCTATAGACACCTTGAAGCACAGACTGCAACGATGGTGAAATTTATAGTCCAGCTATTACTTAAACTATAATCACATATTGCTTCTTACATCTATGTGATAATCACATTTCCAAAACCTTAGAACAATGTAAAGTTTGTGAATCAAGTTTCCAAACCGTTGTTTTCTTGGATTGATGGACGGTTAGCAGAAGACGGTTGTTTGTAACTCGGAAAGTGAGAAAAATTATATGTAATCAGAATTGTATAATAAAAGCAAATACCTACAGTATGAACAATAATTGACAATAGATGAGATGAGTAACTGAAGAGCCTCCACTTAGGTGGGCCACTACGTTATGCATCATTGTATCATGCCAAATGGGAGGAAATTAGATGATCACAAGATTCAAGAGTACAGCGATTGAATGCATGAAAGTAGCGTATGAGAAGAACCCAAAAACAAGACAATACCCGCAATGAATAACTGTCTTTACTTAAATAAAACAGGGTTCTTTAGAATGCAAAACGTACACTAGTTAGTTACTATTCCTAGTGGAGAAATAATTCTATAAGCTTAAGAAGAATTTTGCACTTAAATATTGAGGGGATTAATAAACAGTAGCCATAATTAGTATAAGACACCTTCCACCTTCTCTTTATCTTTCCCTGAAATGACCAGTATCTTTATTAAAATAGCATCAGACCCATACTCAAATGAAGCTTCAATATGAGAACCAATATCTACTTTATAGTTTTAGTTAGTGATAGAAAATGTTGGGATCAATTAAGGTGTAACATTAATGATATTTATTAAGGAACAAAATATTCAGATGTTAATGTAAGGAACAGTTGTTTATACAAATTTTATCCAATATTATGTCATTAGCATCAACATAAAAACCACATTAAAACTAATAGATAAGCAGGTACATGCAAGAAAGATGTAAATGTCTACCAATGAAACAAAGATGCATGAAAGAAAGCAATAAATATATTATGTTACCTTATGTTCGCATTGAGATCAGCAGCAAGTTCTCCTCTCAAAGCATTCCATAGGAGCAGTTTCCCATCTCCTCTCCCACCACTGGTCACCACAAGACCTAACAGAAAAGGAGAGATAACCCACAAGCTTGGAATGCTAAAGAGCTGTATTTATGAATTCTACATAAACAACTACACAATATTACAAAAGCCAACGAAGCTAAAGATGGAAAATTTATAAAATATAGTGCAGCAAATATCCAATCTAGTGGTTGAATATATAGTGCACAAAACATACGAAAATAAAGATAGATGCCAGAATTACCAACAAGCTTGTACATATTTTCTTTTACTTTAGTGGAAATAACAATTAAAGATGGTATGATAGATATGAAGGAAATTCTAATAATATTACAAAAATTAAAAAAATAAAATCATCAGTTTATCCCATTTGATTCTCCAACAAGTACTAAGATCTTAACACTGCAAAAATCTTTTAGCTTGGCCAGGAATTCTAAGCAATATGCTCAGACAAAAGAATCCATGGACATTAACATGCCCAGTTAATTAAAAGGACCTCGAGAAAAATAATTGACCAGTAGTAGTCGCGTTGAAGCTTATTAAAGGAATTGAAGAAAAATGAATCCAGCACTAACATCCTCCATATTAGGACAAAATAATCAAGAATGGCACAGCAATCAAGAAAGGCACAGCAATGTTATCATGAAAAATAGACAGGTTTCTTTTGCATCATCCAAAGTACAACAAATGAACATAGTTTATAATATAACAAACTCATCAAGGAGAGCAATGATATAATGAAATATTGACATGTTTCTACTGCATCATCTAAAATAAAACAAATATAGTTCCAGCCGCAAGATTGCAAGAGAAGCCCAGGTTGTATAAACTTAGACATGACTCAAGTTTCAAAATTAACCAAATATCCATAACGTGAGATGTGTAATGCAAATTATATCATGGTGATAAATCAGAGCAAGATACCAGCAGACAACATAAGGTTTCTGGAGAACGTTATGTATGCCGTATAAAGATATAGGAAGTCATGACAAAGAGAAAGATATGATCTCTCACTAAAAGACAAACCAACAAGCTGGATGACAATATTGAGACCTCTGTATGAATGAACAGCAACTAAATGGTGCTTCAAAACAATAGAAAATCCCTGACAGCATAAAATGTTGCTCCAAAATTAAATAAGGTGCAAACCGCACCAACTCTTCCATCCTTTCATGAGGTTGGAACAACAAAAACATATTGCAACGACAAAGGGAAAACAAATCTTAGGAACAAACAAAACAATAATAATAGCTTTAGGTATACCATGAACAAGAACTAAGGAGTCAGATTTGCAGGCTTGAAATTAAAGAAGACCACGCATAAAAGATAAAGTAACGTAGTTGGCGATACTTTAGATTCCTATGTAACAAGTTATTTATGAAGACAAATTATTCTTAACTAGGGATGTCATAATGGGTCTGGCCAGGCCAAAGCCTACGCAAATGTGTGACAATACAAACTCATCCATTTTTTGCCTGAACATCCCCACAGAGATTTACTAGTCTTATGGATACAAATTAAGAACTTTGCAATTTTATGGTGTTATATACAATTATAGCCTATTCTCATCCTGACCTCATTTTAACTTGACAGCATGAACCAGGGTAGGGCTAATATTCATGCAGCTCTTGTAATATTTAATGCCAAATATTAGCCCATACTGATCCAGGCTATCCCACAGGGACCCCATTCACAGACCATGACCTGCATCAATGACGAAGGCCAATGCAATCTGTGCAGGACTTTGGGATTGATATCAATTACACAATATAGAGAAGATGAATTTCATGAGGATTCCAGCAAAAGAAGAAATTGTGAAAAGGTAAGAGCAACTTTTCAAAACTAAGTTGGCTGTATCTTTGTGTAAATTACAGGGTTACTTTGAATTTCATACCACAGAAGTGCAGCTACAAATATATTATGTCAATTATAAATAATAAAAATCAGAAAAATATGGACTTAAAGAAAAAGAAACAAAAGAGAAAGAATCTTGTGAATAAAAACAAAAGCTAATTGATATTATAATGATTTATGTAATATAAACGAAAAACAGACATGTAGGAAAATGTACATACAAGACTGCCAACGATTAACAGTCATCGCATTAATCTGTTCTGTGTGTCCAACAGATGCTTGATCATCACAAGAAGGCCCCAGGGTAAAAAGACAAGAACCAGTTATGCAGTCCCAAACCTATTTCATGTCAATGCAAAAATATAAGGATAAAGAAATTTCAATAAGGACTTCAAATTACATGTTGAACAGCTTTCTAAATATGTACCTTCAATAATTTAGAACCACATGAAACAATGCTCGCACCTCTAACTGCAAAATCAACAGCCTGGATCTGCCAACAACAAAATTAAAGACCCATACTCAAATGCAGTTTGCGAATAAAAAAATATAAAGCAGTCAAGATCCAGAACGGGTCATATTGCAAACAAAAGCAGAACTTTCAGGATGTTTGACAACTCTGTCAAGCAGAACAGGAAGGGATTTATGGAGAAAGAGAGATTAGCAAAGAAAGAAGACAAAGAAGATGAGAACAGGTCATATTGCAAACAAAAGCAGAACTTTCAGGAGGTTTGACAACTCTATCATGCAGAACAGGAAGGGATTTATGGAGAAAGAGAGATTAGCAAAGAAAGAAGACAAAGAAGATGAGAATGAATCTACCCAAGAACAATCAGTGGCAATGAAATAATCAAATCTTTCATAAGAAAATCTACATTTTTACTTACACGCACTACATATATATAGGAAAAGTATCCACTTCTGCTCAACTACTACTCTGGGAAAGATAAAATTCCAACAGAACTATAATTCTAACCAAAATAGAATCAAGTTCTACACAAATACTTCAAAACAATATAGGAGTTATATCTAATAGCACCATCTATTAAAATATAATATGATCGGGCTAGTCTATGTTCCTTTCATATAGGACTAACTATGCTTCTTCTAAAAAGAGGAGATTCTCACATTTTCACTTCTCTACTTATTGGATCTTCAGATCTGATGGTGACTAGGCTAACCGGGGGCATGACAGGAGCCAACAGAAAGTGCGGACCAATCATCCCCCACCTCATACCATTGTATGTGAGTATTCAATGCAACAAAAAGTAAGAGAAGGAGATTCCTCTCCAACTAAAAGGAAAAAAAGAATCATTCCCGATTACATATAAAAGTAGTCACATGCAAACAGTATATAATCACAAGAATATCATTTCTACATATTCTTGTAGGTTTTTAATGAAGAAATACTTCAAAGAAACTGAATAATACATATAAAGTGTCTCCAATGCACACCAAAATGCATGAAGATGATTATACAAGATAATGCTAGCATATTTCGATCTTCATGTATAGACTTATTTATATATAATTATTTCAATAAATTGTTAACTTCTCAATTCTAATTTATAGTAAAATAAATTATATTCATTTATTATACATACAGTGCATGCTCCAATATTGTTAAATCAATAACTGTTACTCAAAGAAATTATTCTTTAGAAATCAATACATGTGTTGTGCCCACAAAGATAAACAGTAAAGTCGGTTTTCCAGAAACTCTTGCATAAATAAGACATGTCTATAATGTTTCCTGAACAGCTTATCGCCAACTTACTACAAGTTTCTAATATCAGTACATTTAAAAGATATATCATCCTCATATGCGTATAGCAACTGTGAACTGTCTCAAATGCGTTTGGAATGTATGCTATAATTACATTTGATTCACATGTGTTGGAGAGGTTTCCCGTTTTTTATCACAGTGCATGGCAGGCAACCGTTTCAGGATTTCTATAATTTATAACCTGACAAAATTGTGTAAACTCTAATAGCCAATTAGTTAAGTGGCTTAGAAAGAGTCAGGTTTCATTGCTTCAAACCCAATCAAGCCAACCAAATCTACACATACATATGAGCCAAAGTGAAACTTTAACTATCACAAACCTCCATTCCCTCCTACCACAACCCCAATCCCCGCCTCACCACACACATCCACGATACACATCACACAAACTCACGACAACAACGGAAAGTAATGGAGAAACAGCGAGAAAGTAAGTTTGATGGAACAAATGTAATAGCAGTGTGCCTACAAACATGCATGCATATTACAGGTGAGTATTGGACATGAGTCTGAGGCTCTGAGCTATTTTCCACCCACCCATACACCCCATCCCCAACTTTAAAAGGAAAAAGGAAAAAAAACAAAAACTGAACACACTGGATAGTTAATAGGAATGTAGTAGAAAGCATCTGGCAGAAAAGATTAAAAAAAAACCCTAGTAACAGATCGAAGCAAAAAGAATGCAGCGGAAAGCATGCTGTGACAGTCAGGGAGCTATATTGTGTACTCCCCTCCCTCTCTATTGACTATGACCTACAACATTATATTGCAGGCAATTTCAGGTGATTAATAAGGTATCCTCAAGTCTTACACACATCACATCATACATAAAGTATAAAGCAGGTTTAATCCAGGAATGCAAACTTCGATGATGACGTCTAAGACGCATTGAAAATAAGAGACCTGGCAATTATGGCCACTGAGTTGTATTGCCCTTCCAGAGCGAAGATTATACAGTAGTAATTCATTTGGTGCCTGCAGAGAAAAGAAAAGCCTTCACATGTTCTGCCTGTACTTAATAGTCAAGATAAAATGATTAGAAAAAAAATATTATAAACATTGCTGACCTCATTAGA